ACTGTCACGACTACGATCGGCGCTCCTGTTGAGCCTACTACTATCACGTCCCCTTTCCCGGTCAGCACAGCTGCTGTGACGGATGAGGTTGCTGTCACTACTGCAGCTCCTGTGACTGGCGAAGTGACCATCACCACGGCAGCTGGGGAAGCTCCCGGTAGAGACAAGGATGATTCTGATGCTACCACCCCGATCGCTACTGAGACTGCGACTGTGGCTACCACGATCAGTGCTTCTGTTGAGCCTACTACTATTATGACGTCCCCTCTACCGGTCAGTACACCCGCTGTGACCGATGAGGTCGCTGTCACTACTGCGGCTCCTGTGACTGGCGAGGTGACTATCACCACGGCCGCTGGGGAAGCTCCGGGAAGGGACAAGGATGATTCTGATGCTACCACCCCGGTCGCTACTGAGACTGCGACTGCCACTAGGATCGATGCTCCTGTTGAGCCTACTACTACTATCACGACCCCTCAACCGGCCAGCACAGCTGCTGTGACCGATGAGGTTGTTCCTACTACTGCAGCCCCTGTGACTGACGAGGTCACCATCACGACGGCAGCTGGGGAAGCTCCGGGAAGAGACAAGGATGATTCTGATGCTACCACCCCGGTCGCTACCGAGACTGCGGCTGGCACTACTACGATCGATGCTCCTGTTGAGCCTACTACTATCATGACGCCCCCTCAACCGGTCAGTACGCCCGCTGAGACCGATGAGGTGGCTGTCACTACTGCAGCCCCTGTGACTGGCGAAGTGACCATCAGCACGGCAGCTGGGGAGGCTCCCGGTAGAGACAAGGATGACTCTGATGCTACCACCCCGGTCGCTACGGAGGCTGCAACTGTCACGACTACGATCGGTGCTCCTGTTGAGCCTACTACTATCACGTCCCCTTTCCCGGTCAGCACAGCTGCTGTGACGGATGAAGGTTGCTGTCACTACTGCAGCTCCTGTGACTGGCGAAGTGACCATCACGACGGCAGCCGGGGAAGCTCCCAGTAGAG